TTCTCATTCTTGTTTAAACCAATCTCAAAGAGCAAAGTTCCTGAAAAAAATATATCATTTACATTCTTTGCATTCAATACTCGACTTTATAATATCAACCATTTCCCTGTGGATCGACCCGGTATTTACCGGTATTTTATTACTACATCGGCACTTGTATACTTGCAAGTTTAGCCCGGTCAGTTTGTTCGGATCTTCCCCCCGTAGGCCATGAAAAGAGGGAAGTAGATGAATGAGCCCAGATTTAAGCTCAAATGTGACCCCCGTATCAAGAGTTGGAAAAGTGATACATAGGGGTTGTTGATTTAGATTCGGAGCTGTGAGCTCCCTCAATGTTCTTGTTTCATGAGCCATAGTGATTGGCTCTTCGGTCTCGCTAGATTGAGAACTAGCACTTGATGATTCTCCCGAGTCGGAGTTTGAGAATTTGTTTTTCAACCGCTCGAGAGTTTGTTCTATTTCGGGGTTTGAGTGGTATGTGATTTCGTTCAGTGAATGATACTTTACCATATACTACAAAGCTCAGAAGAAATAGAAATCTTTATACTTGAACCATATTTTTTTCTTTCTTTTTCTTAAAATAAAGTAAAAAGAAAAATTAATTGCCTTTCCCCGGCAACGGCGCCAAATTTGACGTGCACTTTATCGTGAGTGCACTCAAAATAAATCGATACTAACACTTATACGTAGTATAGGTGAAGTAGAGTTCGTATCCACAGGGAAAGGAATAACTTTCTTTTTATATAAATAGTAAGTAAAGGGGGGTTTTGATTTTGAGTGATTTAATTTAATTAAACACGAAGATGAACGAGTTATATGGGATTAAATTCAAGAATAAAAGGGACTTGGTCTTGCTACTTTCCACTTGTTGATATATTTTAGTCGATCATTGTTATATCTATAACTTATCCCCTCTCGAATACTCAATCGAGGAGTATATCCAATTCATCGAGGGTAGTTATTAACAACGACCGTTCATTAATAACCCTTACTATTAATCAAATATAGAACAACGTCGTATACCGATATAATGGTAGCATTTAACCTCTTTAACTCCTAGATGAAATCAATTGAGATTGATAACCTCAACACAACGGTTGCAGTTTAACAAAATTAATCCCTCTTGAGTTTATTAACCACGACCGTGCATTAATAAACCGAAGTTACTTACTTGTGAAACCATCAACGTTTAACCATCGGTTCGTTGATCGTTTCTAGTAATAATCAATGTTGGAACGTTAACTAATCGTCACTTAGCCACCCTCCAACATCAATATAGAATGAGATTAAGGGAAGAATTAATAATCAAGAGGAGAAAGTAAGAAAATAACTCACAACTTTAATAATCAACAAGCTTCAAGAGCAAAACCAAGAAATGGAAGTTTAGCTCCTCATTTGGAGACTAAACATGCTAAAAGAAATATAGAGAAATGCTATTCTAAACTGAGCTTAAGAGTATATAGGAATTGGTGTCTCATTGTGAAGGAAAGAGGGTGTATTTATAGGCTTTTGGGATGGGACTTCGAGTACTCGATCGAGTATATACAAAGTACCCGATCGAGTATGTGTGAAATGCCAGATTCGAGGTATACTCGATCGATTCAGCTTTAAAAATCAAAGGTGTACTCGATCGAGTATATATTCATACTCGGTCGAGTATGCGTAGAAAGTGATATTCGCGCCATACTCGACCGATTTCGGGTTTAAATTCAAAGGTATACTCGATCGAGTATGTCGGTCTACTCGATCGAGTATAGACATTGAATCGTGGTCAAAAATCTTCCCGGCATGTTCCTTTGTCTTCGGATCCGATTTGATTTGAAGTTTCAACCTTATACCCGATCGAGTATAGGTAATACTCGGCCGAGTAAAGGTAAAAATCAGGATTTTTCCCTTTTGTCTTGTGATTTGCACCTTCTTTCCACTTTTGGGGTTCACCAACCATCCTTTGAGTGATAATGGCACTACAACAAAATTGATCTTTTGTAACACTTTGTTTGTAACATTTATTTATTTTGTTACATATGTCATTTAGATTTAAAATTATGCAACATTTTTTTATAAGTGTTGCTCAAACCTTTGGAGTATGAAATTATGTAACACTTGTTGCAAAGTGTTGCATGTTACTAAATATTATGCAACACTTATATTTTAAGTGTTGCATTTGATAAATAAACAAATTTACGGGTGATTTTTATGTAACAATTCTTAGGAATGTTGCTTTTGTTTAAGTCTTATGCAACATACGAAGTATATCTCTAAAAATAAAAATTAATTAAGTTTTAGTTGTGAATTATTTATTAATCGCACGCTCTTAAAATATAGTCCCGGCCCGCTATTAAAATTTTCATGTTGGCGCCACCGCCAATAATTAACCTCTTTAGCCCAGGAGACAAATATACCAAGTAAAACTCTTGCCCTTTTTCAATTGCGATCAGAATTCTCAATCCTGCGCAGCTCGCTTGCTGGCCTCCTCCTGGCTTTCTCAACGGCAAAAGCTCGCCTCCTTCTGGCTTTTGCGACCACAAACTTGTCTGCTTCTAGATCGCTGAACCACGTTCGCTCCAGAGAACCCACACCGGCAAACTCAACCATCGCCGGCCAGTTCTTCTGATCCGCGGTTCATATTTATCTCAGGCACGCCTTTTACCTCAATCTTGTACTACTTAGTTTTACAATTTATGTTCTTTTTGGATGTTCGTACGAGTATAGATCTAACCGATTGCTGAGTAATTGCTTATTTTAGTTTGAATCTGATTAGGAATTTATTTTTCTGAAATTGAGATTTATTTTTCTGTAGTGGTTTATGTTCTTACTGGTAATTTCGTTTAGTTTTATGAATTAGTCATAAAAACTTTACTTTCACTAGACTGATTAAAACGAAGTGGTACTTTCATTAGTTTATTAAAACGAAGTGGTTTATTAGTCTATATGTTCTTACTAAGTGGTTTATTAGAATATAATAAACTTATGATTAGGCATAAAAACTTTTCTGAATATAATCTAATAAAAAATGGCTTAACTTTTTTTTCTGGTAAAACGAATTTAGGTTTTTTTTTTTGGATTGTGAATATCATAATATTGGACTTTGACTACTTCCGTTATTTTTTATAATTTGAATATGAAAAGGAAAGGTCTAAATTAAACTAACTTGGATAAAGATTTATTTAAATTACAAACAATTACAAGCAATTAGTTCAGATAAGAACAAGAAAGGATTTTGAAACATGATGTACATGAGATGGATGGACGACATGAGGATGAGCCAAATTGAGCCTAAGATTGAGGAAGGAATTGAGGCAGAGGGGGATGCCAGTAATTAGGACCTATCTGATGCCATAATACGTGAGGGTGAAGATAAAGTAATGGTTTTTAAGTTTCTGTAGTGCCAGATAAAATTATGAGGCATTATTGATCCTGTTGTAGTATCAATTGTCTTGTGCTTGTGGAACAATAATTAGTTTCAATCTTTCTGCTCTCTTTATCATGGTGATTGCTTAATTATCATAGAGTAGTTAGTTTGTCATATAGATTTACTTAAGCAGTGTTTGCGGTTGATTAAAAAAAGCGCTTTTCAGCTTTTAGCTTAAAAAAAGCTAAAAAGAGTGTTTTCAAATGACAACTTCTGCTTAAATTAATCACTTAAAAGCTAAAAGTTGGAAGCAGGTGGACGGGTGCTTTAAACTGCTTTTCACTTTTTCTATTACACAAAAAGTACTTATTTTACCAAACATTACCAACTTTTACTTTTTCAGAATCACTTTTTTCTCAAACACTACCAACTTTTACTATTAATCACTTTTCCCAAAATCACTTTAAAAAATCACTTTTTTAAAGTTGAAGCAATTGCAAACACTCCCTTACATCAGTTTGTATATATAAACTACTTACATAGAGTAGTTAAAACTATTTGCTCCTTATAATAGAGTAGTTAACTAATGTCATATAGAAACTCTATATGACATTAGTTGATTCACAAATAAAACTCCTTCTGTAAAACTCTTGTTACATAGAGTTTTAACTACTTACATAGAGTAGTTAACTACTTAGGTTTTAACTACTTAACAAAGAAAAAAACTACTTACATAAGTTATAACTACTTAAGAGTAGTAAAGGCTTTCTTTTTCTTTGTCACAGTCAAAATATGTTTTTTTTTTTGTGATTTGCTCCTTATAACACTTTTTACCAGTGAAGTAGACAAGCAGTGTATGGTGTCATAATGTAAAGTGGTGTGTTCTGATTTTTATTATTATTCATATTAAATGATGAGCAGTTTGATGAGTTTTTGAATATGAGTTTTGTCCTTGTAAAAAGTGCTTGGGTCTTACTTATAAAAAAGTGAACACAAGGCGCGATTAGGCGCAAGGCGCATAGACGAATGGTTTAGCCGCCCTAATGGTTCTTGTAAATTTGACAACTGTTCTTTTGTCTATGCTAAAGATGTGTGTGTGTGTAGTGAAATCAACAGAAAAACAAAAATCATTTATATAACATCCTTTTCATTATAAATGATAACTTTGGTGTGTGTAGTGAAATCAACAGAAATCATTTAGACTATTTTTGGCGATGATGGTCGCCATGCGCCATGATAACTTTGATGTTATTAATGCAATTTCTCATTCATTATAAATTCTATCTCTTGGTATAAAATTGAACATGTCCATATTAACAGTCTAATTTCAGAGATTTGAGTATACTAGTTATTTTAAGCAGGTGGTGACAAAGATATAGAAGAGAATATTTGTGATGTTATGATTGATGAACATGTTGAAGATGAAGAGAATGATGAACATGTTGAAGACAACGAGAATGATGATCTGAGTGAACAAGTTGAGCTTGAACATGAGGTAACAGGCAATGAGATACAACAAAAACCACGTAAGTGTTTTGAGTTCTTTTCTAATTAAGAGGTCCTCAACAACTTCAAGTACTTATAATGTCATAATCTCTCATTAGTGAGACAATTTACATAAAATGTAACAATGATATGTTTTTGGATGTATTGTTTAGATGATTCAGAAAGAACAAAGAAAACTAGGGGTCCTACAATGATGCATGCAGTACATATGCGAGAACAACGTGTATGCATTATATTAAATAAGTTTGGTCAGCCAATTGGACCGGATGATGCTACGCTAGATGAATTCTCATCCTTTTTGGGGACAATTGCTCATCATTATTACTTTGCACCCTTGGTAGTTGGTACTTGGCGACGCATGCCGGACAAGGACAGTATGTGGGATTATGTATTGGTATGTAACTATGTATTATGGAGCTCTTAGTCCCTTACTGTTTATTATACTTTTTGAAGTTATGAGTGGCCTTTGCATGCTCAGGAAGACAGTCCCTATCATTGATATTCTACTTGACCTACATATGTAGTATATTAGATTATTATGAAAAGAAAGTTCGTATTTGAGATTAATTATGAGAAAGTTTCTAATTAATTAAATATCATAACATTTAAGGCTACATATAACTAACTTTTTTACCTGTCTATATAGTCCAAATATGATGTTGCCCTGAAGGGAAAAAAGTGGGTATTAAGTACAATTGGGTCAGCCTGGAGAGTTCACAAGTGTCGATTCAAGACAAGGCTTTGCTTACAATACAAGGATAATAAGAGCAGATGGCGTAACCGGCCAAAAGACATTCCTGAAAAAGATTTCCGAATGCTCTTAAAGTTGTGGAATTGTAAAGATTACCAGGTACATTAAATAAAAAATTAGTGTATTTCTATTTTTTATTTTATTATTTCACGTTTGTACTAAAGGTATGCGACATTCAATGTAGCAAAAATGTAATCGTAACAAGGGTAATCGCGCTCTTCGAAAGGATAACCCCACGACGGGTCGCAAGTCTTATGCTAGAGTTCGTGCAAAATTGGTACCTACATATTCTGTGTAACAACTTTTTATTGTTTGTTAATTGTAGAATGTTTATAAATGATTTTTCTATTTATCACAGCAAACTACTCTTCCAAATAGTGTTGACATACCGTTATCAACTATGTATGAAGCCACACGCAAAAGAACTGAAGGACGTCAATATAAAGGATCATATGAAGATACTGCTGCAAAAATTGTGAGCCTTGCATTGTCATATTATATTATCTCTTAATTATTTTAGTGATTTATTACCCATCACTAATTTATTTGACATCTAGAATGTTTATTTTTAATGGTGCTTACATCTTAAAATTTTTTTGTACAATGTGTGTTTTCTGTTGGAAATTTTTGTATGTAAGAGATGTTTGGAAGACTAGGCAATCATTAAAATTCATCAAAATATATCAATAAAGAATATTTCATCACCCTTTAAAGTAAAGTGACTTGACTGATTTTGTTCCTGCATCAAAGTAGTTTATGTTCATGCATCATATTTTTTATTATGAAAAATAAAGTCTTTCCGAGTAAACTCAAAATGATTAGTACAAGAAAGGAAGAAAGGGGCATGTATTAGTCTTAGTTAGAAAAATCAACTCTGTTTCTTGCACAAAATCATCTCAGGTTCAATCTATATCAATCTTAGTATGGACTTTTGAGTTAATCCATTTGACTTGTGATGCTCCTACAAATTGAGTAAATTTATATACTATGAGTGTAAATTTATGGAGCAGTTTGCTATTTGTTTTGTGTAAAATTATATACTTACAGAGCTTATTTTTTGTTATACGGAGTACTTTAGTTTATTGTTTCTTTTCTGTGGTACTCACACACTTAAGAGCAATTTATTTTGCTTATATGTTAGATCAATTTTTTTTTGTTTTAAGTACAATAATTTGAGTAAAAATCTATGGAACAGTACGTTGATAATGATTTTTGGTGGTATACTTTATCATAATGTCATTTGCAGATTTGAGATGTAGATTTATGAGGCAAATAACTGGAATGTTTAATTATTATCATTATATGTCATTTACAGATTGAAATGAAAAATTATGAGGAAGACAATAATGAAGAAGGTGAAGCTGCAGTTGATGGGTATGATGTTGTTGTGTCAAAGGAGAAAAGTGGTGGTCCAATAATGTGTGGAAGAGGTGTTACCAAGAAAGACCTTGCTAATACAAAAGAGACCGTGCATCAGTCGCATGTCATGACTTCTAATGATATGGAGACAATCATGAGCACTTTGAGAAAGGAGATTGAAGAGAAAAATGAGAAAAAGGATGCTGAGCTAGAACAAATGCGAAAGGAGCGTGAAGTTGAGAAACAGAAGATGAATTTGATTCTAGCAAAACTGTCTGCCATGATTCCAAATTTTGATGTCAACTCGCTTGGAGTATAGAGTCTGAGATATTTAATTAGCTAGTTTTTAAAGGATTAATCGGTTGATGTTATTGTCGATTTTGATATATTACAGTACTATTTATTTCAAATTGTGCAACGTTGATTATATTGTTATCCATTTGAGTTTCTCTTTGACACATAAGATATGTAATGAATATTGCCTTGATTGGATAATATAATATTGTGATGCTTTTAACATTGATATGTATTTATGCCTATAACTATATACGTATATATATACTACGTATTACATATTCTTAGAAAAGTGTTACCTATAACTTAATAAAAGTGTTGCAATTTCGAGAAACTTGTTGCATAAAATAGTGATACACATGTTACATAATCTAAATTTATGTTGCAAGAAGTCATAGTATTAGTGTTGCATTTTATTCAAAAAAGTGTTGCGTAAGATGGTGGTTAATCTCTCGTGTGAAAGTGTTGCATTAGAGTAAAATATGTAACATTTTTATTAAATGTTGCATAATATAGTGAAAAGTGTTGCATATGACTTTATGCAACGAGACCTGAAGTAACGCTCATAAAAGTGTTACTTAAACCTTTTGTAACATTTTAACTATGTAATGCAACATTTTGCTGGTGTTACAAAAGGCCTATTTTGTTGTAGTGTGGACCTGTTTGAGCTCAGAATAATCCTAATCTAAACAATTTACAAGGATTTAACAAACTAAACTATTACACCAAAAGTGTGTAATTTCCGAAACATTAAACAACCAAAACTAGCTAAAAACATAAACATACACACGGAAATTACAAGTGTATCAAAAGGCTAAGACAATGATTAGAAAGCTTGAAAAGGGAGATATAGATGAAGAATACAGGAACTTGGAGGATTATAAGGAAGAAATACTAAGGTCCAATCAGGGTAATACTTGCATCCTAAATCTAAGGCATCCTAGCCCAGTATTTGATAGGTTTTATGTGTGCTTTGATGCATGTAAAAAAGGATTCCTAGAAGGGTGTAGAAGGCTGATAGGTATAGATGGGGCATTTCTGAAAACTGAGGTGAAGGGTGAAATTCTAACAGCTGTAGGAAGAGATGCAAACAACCAAATGTTCCCAATTGCATGGGTATGTAGTTGTACCTTGTGAGACTAAAGCCACCTGGAAGTGGTTTATAGAGAATCTAAGAGAAGACTTGAATATTGGAAGGGGGAAAGACTGGGCTTTTGTTTCTGATCAACAAAAGGTCACACCCACTTTCACTTCTGCTATTTTTTGCTTCATATGTACCTAACATTCTTGTTTCATTTCATCGTTGAATTCTTTCATACCAATAAAAGTATGATATATTAACACAGTATATAGTATTACATTGTACTATATATAATTATATACTATTATATATCCCAGTATTATATTATGGAACCAAAATGTTTATAAAGCATCTTAAAGCATCTTAAAACAGTTTCAAATCAGTATGTTTGTTCAATATATATATATATATATATATATATATATATATATATATATATATATATATATATATATATAGGTTTTGGTTCAAATAAGAACACGATCTTATGAGAAAAATGAGAATGAATCTGGACCGTTAGATTTGCCTCAAGTGAAATTCAGTGTGCATTAGATGAAACTGTAACGTGCATTAGGTGAAATTGAAATGTGCATCACAAAGGGTACGATAGAGTGGCATTATGTGCAGTTGAATTGTGCACTACATGAAATTGAAATGTGCACTAGGTGAAGCTGAAATGTGCAGAATAAAAAGTACGATGTGATGTTATTTTTGTACTTTTTTTTCGCACATATCAGTTTCATCTAATGCACACTTGAGTTTAAATTTTTATCTTGCACATTTCAATATCATTTAATGCACATTTCAGTTTCACCAAATGCACAATTTAGTTCCACATAATACAATCCAACGGTCCAGATTCGTTCTCATTTTTCTCCTAAGATATGTTCTTACCGGAACCGCTCCCTATATATATATATCCCAACATTACATTACATTACATATATAGTATCCTACAATGCTTACTGACTCACACTTTGATATTTTCAGGGGTTGATGCCTGCTTTATATGAGACCTTACCTGATGTTGAACACAGAAGATGTGCCAAACACATTTATGCAATTTGGAGAAGAAGTCATGGTGGTTTGGAGTTACAAAGGCAATTCTGGAAGTGCTACAAATCTGCCTCAAAAAGGGAATTTGAACTCAATCTAGAGGTACTTAAAACTCTTTCTCCAAGCGCTCATGATGATATGGTGAAGATAGATCCCAAGTTCTGGTGTAGAGCCTTTTTCAATAGGAGTATCAAGTGTGAAACAGTGGATAACAATCTGTGTGAGGCTTTTAATGGTGTTATAGTACCTGCTAGATCTCTGTTTGGTTTTTCTCAATTGGAATATATAAGAAAATTGGTGATGCAGAGGCTATTAAAGAACAGGAACCTGGGTGAGAAGTGGGTAGGTGACTTAGGTCCCAGGATTAGGAGGATAAACAAAAATGTATTTGCCAGTAATAATTGGAGGGTTCTTTTCAATGGTTCTGATGGGTATGAGATCTCATGTGGATCAGAGACTTATTTGGTAGATTTGGAAAGTAGGAGTTGTTTATGTGAGCAGTGGGATGTTTCCGGGATTCCATGCAAACATGCCATTTGTGCCATAAGAGATAAGGGACATAAAATTGAGGATTATGTATCTCTTTGGTATAAAAAGGGAATGTATTGCCATATATATATATTCTGAAATGATGACCCCTATTGCTCGACCATTATTTTGGCCTAAAACTAATGTTAAAGTCCTATCAGCTGAGTTGAAGAAAAAAGAATTAGGTAGGCCTAAGAAGAATAGATTTAGGGAGATTGGTGAGATTCCTACGACTAGCAAGTTAACCAAGAAAGGAACTAGCATTACATGTCAACTATGTTTCAGAAAAGGGCATAACAAGAAAGGTTGTCCTGCAAAAGAGCAAATTTTGCAAGGGACAACAACATTCCCTTCTGATTTAGGAGGTGGTACTTCTCAACAACCACAAACAGTATCTGAAGAAGCAAGTCTAAATGGAGATCATGTAGTTCTTTTCATGAAGCATTATGTTTTGTGGGTATTACTTTTATGAAGGTCTCAATATCTTCATCTAAATTACTAACTGTATATTTTTTTAAAGGAAAATAACTCTACCTTTGCTCCTCCAAATGAGAAGAATGTGGAACCTAGTACATTGCAGAATTACTTCAGTGAAAACACAGATATGGAAGACAGAAATAGGGACAATGTGTTTCAGTTTAGGGGAAAAAAATGCTACCAGTGCTGGTGGTTTAGAGGTATACTTTGCATTGATGTTGTTCCTAATTTTCAATTTCTCCATACAATATGATAAAGTAATATTTACTTTTGTCCCTATAAACTTATAACCTGTTTTTCTTTATACAGAGGTTGAGGTAGAGGAAGGGCAAGGAGATAAGGGAAAAGGCCAGTCAAGGAAGAAAAAGGCGCTCTGAAGAAATGGAAATCACTGGGGTGTCAAGTACTGCAAGGGACAGATTTCATACCTTGTTTGACTCAATGGAAGAAGAATGTGAAGATTAGTGTTGATCTGCCACTTGTGGAAAACCTTAGCGAGATGTTTTGCTTGTATTTTGTTAACTAAACTTCCTTTTTGAACATATGTACTCCCTAACAATGATGTTTGCTTGTAATTAGTCTGTGGGAGATGATGGTTAGGTGGCTTGTTCAATTTATCTAGAATGGCATTATGAGGGTTGTGTACCCTAACTGTATTGTGGGAGTACAAATCTGCCAATAGGCTAGCTTGTACTCTCATAATTCATGAACGGATTGGTTAAAAATCTTTGTTTTGATTAGGATGGTTCCCATTTCTTTTAATGTAAATGTAATGACATTACCAGGCTTTTTTTGGACTACAAAGCTTCTAATTTGTGCATTCTTTCCTTGTTAATATTTGTGCCATATACAGTTTCTTGTTAGCAGCCTGTTTTGCTAGCTTCTAATGTTGATATGTGTTCCTATTACACGTAATGTCAGGCTATTTAGCTTCAAAATTTAGCAGGTTTCTTGTTAGTATGTTTTGGTAGCTTTTAATGTAAATGTATTGACATTACCAGGCTATTTTGGTAGCTTCTAATGTGTTCCTTGTTAATAGTCGGCCCATATATGGTATCAACTAGCAAGGTTCATATAGGTACAATGTATGGATTATATAGGTTCACATAATATCAGAGTTCATATATGGTTATTACACCACACCTCATCAAATTAACAGCAATAACAGAGTTCACAAATAGGGGTATAATAGTCTCTTAATCACTTCTTAGTCTTATTTTTGGAAATTGGAGGAGAATGCCACTTTTTTGTCCATAGCTCTTTTTTAGTATTATTTTAGACAAAACCCCTTATTATAAATACGGAGTATATGATTTTAACAGAAATAAACTATTCAATCAATGACAGGGCCTCACGCCAACAAACAGTAACAACACTCCAATTCAAAATGGTTAGATTCATTGATAAAACTCAATTACCCAATAATCCAATTCAGTGTGTTGGTGCTTTAGGCGTGAAGGCGGTTTACCCTAATTCCATACGGACCAAAGCATGTATTTTGTACAGAGCACTAACTTAACGCCTTAACAGGCTACCGGTCTGGACCTGTTTTTTCCGGGTTTGAGTCAGACCGCACCGGAAACCCGGAATCGTAAAATATTAAGAACCAAAACCCGGACCTGTTTATACAGGTCCATTCCGGACCGGTCCATTCCGGTTCGGTTCATGTCCAAATTACGGTCTAACCCGGTTAATGCACACCCCTACGCTATAACCTCTTCCGGGCCGGGTCAGAGTAAGTTTTTCCCAATCCTACCCTACATCTGAGGCTTCAGTTCTCGATGCTTCCATTTTGCCTTAGCCTAAGCATTGCT